GTTTTGATGGGATGGTTCGTGCTAGCCGTCCTGCAGAATGCTGTGCTGGCGCAGCTCTCCTTGGGCATCCTTGTGAACATCCACATCATCCTCACCGTAGCTGTCCTATCTGCCGAGGTGGGGGCAGGTAAAGAAAAAAAGAAGAAAAGAAAAAGAAAAAAAAAGAAAAAAAGAAAAAAAAGAAAAAAAGAAAGAAAGAAAAAAGATACGTTGATCTGTGCGATGTGTTATTTGCTTTGTGATAACTGGATTATCTTTCTACCTCTTTGCCTTTTGGCTGCGTGCAAGTTGGTCCTTGTGACACACGGGGATGGGGGCAGCCAGCGCTCAACTTGTCATCCACGTGGCTGGCCTTGTACGTAAGAGGTTATGAACAGGTGGAGCTTTCCTTACCTCTTCCCCTTCCCCTTTTCTCCTTTTCCTTTTTTCTTTCCCCTTTTTTGCGCTCTGATTCACAATGTGACAATATATATGCATAGATATTTTTTCCCCTATGAATGTGTTGAAATTCTCCAGCATTGATGCGTGTGTGGGTGTTCATGCTTTTGGGGCCGCTTGTCTGCCCGGGTCTCCTCGACGGTCATTGATGACAGTGATCCCTTAACAATCGATTATACAGTAACCTAGCAATTTCAGCATGCTGAGCCATGCTTTTGGGGTTCTTTTTTTTTTTTTTTCCCCTTTTATGTTCTCCTTCTTTCTTTCGGTGTCGCCGAGGAGGATGAATTAATGCCTTGTAAGGCTCTGACATAATGCCATTATACGCGGGTGGGCATGTTCATTCCCCCTGGTCGTCATCTACACCTCCCTCCCTCATTTGACTGGTCAAGGTTATTACTTAGTAAATGATAATCAGTAGAAAATCGGGGGGAAAGTTGTAATTAAATTAAATTAATAGAAAAAATAAAGGAGAGAAAAAAGACGAAGAAAGTTCGGAGCGCGGTTTTTACAGGGGCAGGGTTACACTACGAAAGAGGATTGGATTACGCTCCTGAACCTGGACGTGTTTTAAGCAGAGGTGCAGAAAAGCATTTCAATCTCGATTTTCTGCACTTTTTCACAAACATGTCCAGATGCAGGTGTTCAATCCACTTCTCTTTGCTAGTGGGATCTTGCCCCAGATGTCTAGTCTAGTAGATGTAAATGCGAAAGATGGTCGATGCGATGATTGATGGAGTCGATGAATGTTAGCGGGAAAATTATGACGGGAAAAAAAAAAAAAGGTAGATTAGGGAAGAGGAGAGAAAATGCAATGATAAAAACAATCGGTTGTGTGTGTGGACGTTCTTTTTTTTGGTGGGAAAAGGGGAAAAAAAAAAAGAAGGGAGAGGTAATTACCACAGTTGTACAATGCGATGATTATGCGGATTTGGAGCCTCGCTCCACTATTCGCGACATGCACAGAATCTGTGTAAAAAAAATATGGCGGTGTATCTTTCCATGTTCTAGCGGTAGATTCATTCTCATTTTGCACGTTTGGTGAGTAGTGGAGCGAGGCCCATGTTCTAATAAGGCAGTGCGCGTAGCAGGACTAACCCCAATGGTAACCGACAGAGAGAATCCCGCTCTACCCTTTTTTTTTTTTTTTTGGGAAGATTGTGAGCTTTATTAAATTTGAAAGACCTGAAAAGAAGAAGAAGAAGAAGAAGAAAGAGCTGGCTATTGGCTGTGAACCATAATTTGCTTCCATCCGTCGACGGCTGGCTTCTTAAGTGTGGACCGTTTGTCCTTTGGGACATCCGTTCAAATGAGAAAGATACAGAGAAAGAAGATTCGCATGGCCCCTGTTCACTCAAAGATGACAGCCATAAATCGAGAAAGTGGTCCCCCCCCCAAAAAAGAAGTATGAACACGGACCGTCAGATGCGGTCCCGTGTCAACGGGCCTCACTTAGTTGGTACAGCGATGAAAAAACTGTTGAAATGCACAAATTAGTTGGAATCCGTACAGCGACGAAAAAGATGTTGAAATGCAGACCTGAGTTGGAATCCAGATCCAGATGACAGGCGTAAATCGAGAAAATGGTCTCTTCCCAAGAAGAAGTATGAACACGGACGGTCAAATGCGGTCCCGTATCAGCGGGCCTAAACTCAGTTGGTATAGCGATGAAAAAGCTGTTGAAATGCAGAATTTGTTATTATTATTATTTTTTAAAAGGCTAATTGAAATGCAGAATTTAGTTCGAAACCAGATGGAATTAGATGAACGAAATCAAATACAATATTTCTGCATTAGCCGGGGCCGGTCAGGTCCACGATGATATCTCTAGGCCGTTGCCCTTTTTTTTAAAAAAAAAGATAAAAAAAAATCGTTCCTGCCAATGCAGGGAACGATTTTTTTAAATCTTTTTTTCTAAAAAAAAGGGCATTTGACGTGAGATATCCTTTGATTAGCATACCCTTGAAGTGAAATTTGACGAACGGATAGGAGACAGGTTGATCAAAGGCCTGGCCACACGGCACACGAAACGCAAAAAAAAAAGAAAAAAAAAAAGAAAAAAAAAAAGAAGCGCATCTGCACACACAAAGTGGCAAAATACATACATGCGTTACTATTTTTTTAATGGTAATGGAAGGATCTTTCCAGTTTCTGTGGGATGCACTCGTTATTTATTTATTTATTTATTTATTTTGGACCATTTCTAGATTTATGCGTATCATTCTTGTGCAGGGTAATGTTCACTCTCTGTAATAATGTCTGTATCGTTCCAATTTTAATTGATGTCCCGAAGGACCGTTTCGTGTGTTTGTTCATTTCTCTGTTCCTAACACGAAGTTGTTCTTTTTTTTTTTTTTTTTTAAAGGTAGATGTGTTGAAATAATCACAACTGAGGCCGGGGTCCTCACAGTCTACCCGGAGTGAATGAATACTGGGGTGGGGTCCCACTAGCAAAGAGGATTGGATTGACAGCTTGAATCTGGATGTGTTGTTTTAAGGAGAGACGCAGAAGAGTAGGTCAATTGCCATTTCATGCACCTGTCCACAAACTCGTCCGGATTCGGATTGGAAATCTAATTCTCTTTGCTCGAGGGACCTCGCCCCTGGGAGCGTTACCCAGCTTCGCTTAGTGGGACTCAATCCCTG